AAGAGCTCCAGCAGGCAGGTAAATCATCAAAAATTCAGTTCCTGCAACTAATGAAAAAACCAACCTCGCTATATAGTCCAGGGGAAATTGTTCTCTGACGCAAGCCTGATGGTAGGTCTATTTGTCTTGTTTCTTTTACAGACTATCAAACAAGTTATTTCAGAGATTCAGCCAAATGTTTTGACTGGGGGACAAAAAACAACAACACAACACAAAACAAAACCACACAAACAAACAACAACAAACGGGACAGAGCGTTTCCGGCTGTCACGCTCAGGCCAAAACGGGACCCAGAGCCCGGGGAGCCCCAAGCCGCGCACTTCTCGCCCCATGCGGCTTACGGGCGCTCCCCGCGGCCCTGGGAGCAGTGAGCCGGAGGGCAGCCGGCAAGGGCCGCTGGGTTTCCCCGCGGGGCCTGAACTTCAGTTCTCCTTTGGAGCACGCTCCTTCAGCTTTGTTCTGGAGGGGGGAATGGGCGCGGCAGTTCCAGAGCTATCAAGGTCCCCACTCCCTTGACAAACCTGGAAACTTTGGGAAGTTCTAAACTGAGCTTTCCCTCGTTCCCAGAGTCCCTCTCTATCTGCTTTACCAGGACCACGGGGCAGCTTGCCAAGGGGGTGCGCTTTTAGATGGGTTTTTTCCCCACAGAGCCTGGAGAAGCGCCTCCGCCCCGCTCCGAAGGCAACTTGCAGACCTCAGCGTCCACGGCTCGGCGTGGCGCTCCGCCCGCCCCCTCCGCCCGCCGGGCCCCAGTCGTGGGGAGGCGGGAGGGGGAGTCTCTTCTCCAGCGAGAGCTTGGTGCCACGGCGCTCTCCTGACTTAACCCCGTCCTGGGGGCCTAGACGTGCACTAACCACCACTTGCTCCCTCCCTCTACCCTCGCCCCGCCCCTGCTCGGTCCCCACTCCCGCGGGCCCGCGGGAGTCGTCCTTGGAACCAGTTTCCGATCGCAGAAACTCTGGTGTCACACCTCCCCTACGTCCGGCTCTCCGGCCCTTTTCGGGATCCCACACCCCACCCGGCGTCTCCCGCCCTCCAGGCCAAACGAGACACCACTCCTCCGGCCCAACCCGCAGCGCCATTTTAACCCCATAAGGTTTCCCGTTGCTGAGGGAACGGGAAACACCTCACCCTACTCCACACCCTGCCTGGGTCCACGCCTAATGCAGCCCGAAGGGTGTTGTGAAATAACGCGGCGGGGGGCGGGGAGGGGTCGGTCACGCTACCTCCGAACTCTCCAAACTCTGGCAAAGTCTCGGGGACACTTGTGCTCCCCGGGACAGTTTTCTTCCCCTCGCGGGGAGTGCGGGGTGTTGGAGTTTCCTGGCACTGACTGAGAAGAGCCTCGTCTCCTTTCCCCAGCCCCTTTAAGGACATGTGATCTTCTGTCTCAAACTTTCTCCTCTGGTCTACGAGCACCATCGGCCGCGGAGAGCGACCCCAGGCGAAGCGGAGAAGGCAGAGCACTGGTGTGGGGTTAACCCAAACCCGGGCGCCTCGAGGTTGGCGGAGGCCCTGCGGTCCACCCTGGGTGCGCTGTTGGCCCCAGGGAGCCCCCGGGTTCGCGAGGAGCGTGTCGCCGCGCCTGAAACAGTCATTCATTCCCTTGTCCAGATCGTACTCCCCATAAAATCTAAAGCCAGATGCATCGCTTGGGCAAGTTCCCATTTCACCGCGAAAAGCACAGATTTGTTTCCAACCTGGACTCCAAATAGAGCTGTTGGTGCGGGTTCCAGTGGTGTGAGCGAGGTTGGCCTTTGATGGCTCAAGGGACTGCCTCGGGCGGACAACGTCGTAGGCACTGAAGTCTGAACCTAACCCTGGCAAAGCACCGTTTGCGAATGCGGAGGGTGTGTGGGGGGGCGGGGGGATCTGTACTTTTTACGTAGGTGGAGGAGAAAAGACCAATTTCATAATTATAGACGCCCAGTTTAGCAAGATAACCTGATGGAGCTTATTTTTCCCAAAAATAAGTTACAAGGGGGAAAACTTGCAAGAAAGTGAGAACACTGGCCACGTCTGAAACCAAGGGCTGGCATGGTGCAAGCAGGCATTTATATCAGCCTGTTGCGTTGAAAACAGTTTTTGCGGAGTTTTTTGTGGTTTTTGTTTGTGTGTTTAAGAAACAGACGCTCTTAAAAAGGAATTAGCCTAAGAGACTATTTCACCTACAGCATTCCTCCCACCATTATATAAAGAAATTCTGGTGGAGTAAGCCATCTTTTTTACAATTAGAACTTTCTGGTATTTGCAGTTGTGATGAAGAGGGGAGGAATAAAAACGAACAACGCTACTCTGAGATTGATTACTGCCTGTTACCGGCAAAACATCAGCAGGAAACCAAGACTGTATTCCCAAAGTTCGCCTAAGGGAACTCAATTTTGCATCTTGTAAGATTACAGCCGTTTTTGGTCCTGTTAGTGAATAAATAGGCAGCAATTCATAATCTAAGCAATGCAAACAAGTATACAATTTCGAGTCTCCCTACTTAAAAAATGAAAGGGATTTTGTGAACGTGCCTCTGAACAGCTAGAGGTGTAACAGCATTGCGTGCCCCCTGCATTAGGTGCCAGTGAGAGAGTACAGACCCAACTACTGGCATAAACTATGTTTCCACAGTCGACTCATTTAGGATCACATGATTTTTTTAATATTTGCCAAAAAACACAACAAAGGTGCTATTAAATAGAATAAAGTTAGTTGTTTGGCTGCGTAAATGTACTGGAGTGACAGAGCGAGCATCTCGCGGGCCAGTATTCCAGTGCTGATTCGCTACGGAGGACGGTGGGATAAGTGAGGACTCGTCTTAGCTGACCAGACTCGGGCTGGCTGCCACCCTGAGGGGTGGCTGTGAGGGGTTACCTTCACTTTCTGAAGATATTCTCATGCTTTTCCTTAACTGAAAAGGTCTTGGTAAGGCCGCCCACGCCGGCTGCGCTTCCGTCCAAATCTGCGCAGGCCGCCTGGTCCCTGCAGTGAAGACCGCAAAGGAGCAGGGCGGGTGCGAAGGATATCACCAAAGTTTCCTGAAGTCCTGACGTCTTTATACCGCTTAGGGCTCTGGTTTTGGATGAGAGGCGGATGCTTATCCAACATCAGTGGAACAATTCCGTGGGCCTCCAGTCCCCCTGGCTTCTGGGAGCCGCGCCAGGCTCCTCGCCTGGGTCTCTCCCCGAGATCCGCCCCTGGGGGCCAACGCCAGCCTTCCCGCCACAATCCTTTGCCTCTACTTCCCCTCCTCAGGGTCCAATCAGTCTCGAATTTCAACTCAAGACCCAGGCCAAACGTTCCCTTCTGGGTTGGTATATATTATCGTACCCTTGACTTTTCCCAAGAGGAGGAAGAGTTTCCCCGCGCCCTTCCGGTACCATCCACGACCCGGTTTCCACGAAGCTGGGGCGCCCACCCTTGCTTCCTGACCCCAGACCTTGGTCACCCCCGGCTGCGCTCTGGGAAGCTGCTCCAGCTGATGCGGCCCGGGTGCTTTCGTTTTGCTTTCGCTCCCTTCTCTCTGCAGCTGGGAAGATTGCGAAAGAAGAAAGTTGGGGTGGGGGGGGAGGAGGAGGGAAGCGTGTGCCTGACAAGTGGACACCTTGGTTGGCAGGAAGCTGGGCGGGGAGTGGGGGGAAAGCAAGGCTAAAGCTGGGGCCTGCGCACCCTTGTTCCTAACAGGGGCCAAAAGGGCCAAGAGGCCCTGACTTGTTTTCTTCTTGCAAAGAAACTTGCTTTGTATACTTCAGAATTGGTGGGGAAACGAAAAGGTAGGCATTGTCTTTCAAATACAGACAACGAAGCAAAATAGAAAGGCTGGAAGAGGGGTGGCCAGCGGGCTTCCACTCAATTGTAAGGAAACCGGGAGAGAAGGCGCGAGAGCCCAGAGAATAAAACAGGCCCCCGCGCCAGGCTCTGAGCACCTTTAGGTGTGAGGAGACCAACGCGCGCCCAATTTGCTGAGGGTGGGTTCAGCTCTGCGCTTTGGAAACCCAGCAAACACTGCACGGGTTCGTTTTACTTAATCTCGCCTCCCTCTTTATCCGGAGTGAAGCACGCAACGCTAAACGGATGAATTCATGGCCTAAGGTTTCCCCCCTGGGGGGAGGGGAGACCCAAACCTGGAAAGGTTTCTCAGAGAAAGGCAAACTTATTGCTGCTGGGTGTGGCCCATTCGAAATCCTTCCAGAGTTTGGATGAGCCCAGTGCCCGGCCTGGCAGCGGGGCTGGGGTGGGCGGCGGGGCAGCTGGTGCAGAGTCCCGCTTCGCCCCTTTCCCCAGTCTGCTCCTGAGCCCAAGGAGGCGGGGGTGCAGGGAACAGTCCTCCAAACTCCTTAAAAAGTAACATAACCCTTCCAGACTGTTTACCACACTGTCCAGCTGCCTGGAAAAGTCAGACGTGTTTCCTGCACTTGTCCCAGCTCAGCCCCCAGCTTTCCACCACCCCTGATCTGATGGGCAAAATTATTTTATTCCGACCCAGGGAAGTTCAACTCCGATCTAAATAAATCACGTAGGGAAAAGACAGGAAGCTGCGAAGGTAAATCACACTCAGACTAGCTACTTGCAGTTGTATTTACCACCCTCCCTGTTTACACTGAGCTCTGGAACTGAAGCTTTAGGCCGCCAGGGAGCTCAGTTTCACTTCGCGGGTATGACGGGGCCTATCATTTTCGCCCTCGCGTTTTGAAGAAAAGTTTGAATGTTTTTGTCACCGATCCAGCTTCCAGTAACTCCTCAAATATTATATCCCCGCCCCTCCACTGCGGCCCAGGTCTGAAAACTGCTTGGTGCCTCGCTGTCCGGGAAGCAGTGAGTGAGCTCGCGCCACGCTCGCTGCACCTGCGGAGCAGGGAGGGCATCTGGGGAGAGCGTCTCCGCGGTCTGATCAAGGCCCCTCCGCGCTTCCAGCGCTCCGCGGGCCACCCCTGCGAGCTGCCGCAAGCCACCCCCGCACCCCTCCGTCTCCCGCCCCAACCCAACCGTGCGGGGCCCAGGGAAGACTGGCATCTCAAGGCCTGGGAAAGCGGTGGCGCCAGAGACAAGTCCGGCCCCTGGCTCCCAGGCGAGGCCCAAAGGCGCGCACACTCCGAGACCAGGGCGGTGGCACTCCGAAGAGGGAGGGAGGAAGAGGGCGGAAACGGGGAAAACTGGGGAACACACCCACAAGCCGGGGACCCAAGGGGACCCGCTGGGTGGCTAAGGCAGGGGTGCCCACGCTGTGCGCGACGCCTGGGCCACGGCCGGAGCCCACCAGCTAGGCGCACGGGTGAGCGACACAGCCGCTGCCTTCACGAAGCCTGGCAGGCAGCGCAGAGCCCCCGGCCGCTGGTTTTCCCTGGCGGACACGTGACAGCGTTGGCAGCGCTCCGGAGGAGGGGGAAGCGGCGAGCGGGAGGCTGGGGCTGGCGGGCGACTACCGCGCTGTGTACTTAGGTCGTGTGCTGGGGCTTTTCTCTCTCCGGAGCCGGTGGGAGGAGGGGGAGGGGCCACCGCTCCGCCTTCTCCTTTTCGCAATGTTGACGCAATCTATAAATAGTGGAACAAAAGGACCAACTTCCTCGGAGCTTTGCTGAAACTGCACAAAAAAATCGAGCTGGGGGGTTCCCTGGTCCCTGGCGACTGGGCTGGGAGCGCGGCGCCGGGGGAGGGGGCGGGCGCAGCGCGGCCGCGCCGCCAAGGGGACACCTAGCCGAGGCGCCGCTGCCGCCGCGCCACTCCGTGCGAACCCAGGGCTCCAGTCCCTGCGCGGGCTCGGAAACTCGCCCTGGCCAGGGGTCTTCCTCCCCCACCGATGACAGGTCAGTCTGTACCGCCCCTTTCGGCACCGGGTTTTCTTTTCCTTCCCCCCAGCCTCTACTTTTAGAAGGGAAATGAGGGAAAAAATAGAACCAGGCGCAGCAGTGACAGCCACCAAATCTGTAATCCCAGGAGTCCACGGTGGGGTGGCCGAGGGGACTCAAGGAGGAGGTCTGCGCCTGGCCCCCAGTCATACAACCATTGCCCGCGCGGCCGCCGGAGAAGACACCAGGCAGGACTAGCGAGCGCCGTCCAGGCGGCAGGGAGAGCGGAGGCGGGAGCGCCGCGGAGGTGCGGGCCGCAGGACAGGGGTTGAGGGGCGGGTCCCCGGCTGCCGCTCCCGCTTGGGGGCCAACCCCCGACGACCTGCCAGGGACTGGCGCCCTCGGAGCTCGGACTCGGCTGAGCAGAAAATCGCTGTTACTGAAGGACCCCGCGCACCCCGGATCCAGTGCCCACGCACCCAGCGTCAGGGGTTGGGCTGGGTGGAGGCAGGGGCGCGCTCCTCCGAGAGCGAGGACCTGAGCGCGACAGCCCGCCGCGCCGCCGGGCTGTTACACTGGGCGCGGGGGAGGGGGCGGAGCTGGCGCTGTTGACAGCCTTGCTAAGCGGGAGGGAGGGCGAAAGTGGGGAGTCGGGCTGGGGAAGGGAGCTGGCGCGGGATTGGGGGGGCGGGGAGACGACGAAGAGAAGGAGGAGGAGGAGGAGGGGGGAGGAGGAGAGGGCTAGATCACGTGACGGGCAGACGCCCCCGCTACAGGCTAACAGTAGCGGTGACGTCACCGTCCCCTGACTGCAGGGGGTGGCACTTCCGCTCGCTCCCCCTTCTCTGCATCCCGGCTCGCATTACCGGCTCGCAGCCGTTTGGGAGTGTGGGAGTGGGCGGAGGGTGTCCTGGGGTTTTCTCGATGGCCCCAGCCCGGCCTGCTTCCCCAGCCCGCCAGGGTCCTGGGCTCGGGACCAGCGGCCGCCCGAGTGGCCCGCCGCCAACGCGCTCCATTGTGTGCGCGGCGAGGCGGCGCTGGGCGGAGGTTGGTGCGGGCCCCCGCGGCTCCCAGCTCCAGGGGGCGGGAACGGCCCCGGCGCAGTCAAGGCCGAGTTCAGCAGCGTCTCTGAGCGCCTTCCGCGCTCCAGAAGCCCGACGCTCTCCCCTCGCGGCTGGCAATCAGCGGCTGCGCCCGCGCTCCCGAGGCGCCGGTGGTCGGCCTCCCCTCCGCTGAGCGGGCCTCGGGTCCAGGGCCACGCGAGCGTGGTGTAAGCTATTTGGGGAAACTCCGGGGACTGGTGATTGAGCGCGGTGAGCGCTGTTTGTGTTGATGGATTACTAGCAGGGAAATACGCTTCGCACAGATCCTTGGACCAAAGAGGGCAACGAGCTTCGTTGGATGCAACAAAATACTTTTTTTTTAAAGACTGTGAGAGACGGTGCTGTAAGGTATTAGCAGACTAGTTAGAGCAAGGTTTATCTAAAAAAGTTGGAACATCTTCCAGGGTAGATAATTTCAGGGACACATTATGATAGTAAACTGCCTTTTTTGGGTGGCGTTGCAGTAAACTAGGAACAATAATCCAGATAAATTACCTCCTAGTTGGTCACTGAATATTAGAATTACAGGATTTGTTAAATATGTAACACCATGTGGTGGCTAGGTATAAAATAAAACTTTCATATTGAAAATTCCCATACAGCATTCTGTAACAGGAAGGTGTGTGGGGGAAAATCTGCTGGCAACTATAAATCATACGTGGGAGGCACGAGGGTGGGCTGGGAGAGGCCAATGGGAGAAAAGTGGGGGACATATGTAATACTCTCAATGATAAAGATTTTTTTTAAAAAAAATGCAGCCTGGGGTTCAATTTGAAAATCCAAGAGGTAAATGCTAAAAGAAAGAGCAATTGGTAGGCTGGCTTCAGGGAAGCAAGAGTTCACACCCCATTTGCCTAGCGTGCACAGCTTACTGTAGGTTGTGACCTGAGGTGTTTTTTGAAAGAAAGAAGGTAACTTACTGGTTGGCAAAAGTTAGGCCAGCTAAAAAGAAAGGAAAGGGCTTCCCAAGCTGAGAAGCAAAGCCACGTGGACAAAGGCCTGCAGTGAAGAATTAAGGCAAGATAAGTATGGGTGGGAATGTGGGGAGAAAGGAAGCTGGAAGGATGGGAATAGGCAGGTCATGCAGGGCTTGCATTCTATGCTCAGGAGTTTGCACTTTAGACTGAGACCTACACATTTTTAGCCTTTTCAGGTACACATACCCTTTTGAAAACCGAAAACAATACTCCTATAGACCCATACCACAATTTTGCATACAATTTCCAAGGGTTTACTGTAGTTGGTGAGTAAATAACTATTGAGCCTTAAGATTAAAACCTACAGCTGAGATTTCAACCGGTGTGCCACAAGATTTTTTAAAACGTGTAATACCTGACCATTTAGTTAGGGGCACTGACTCTTTTCCCTTAGATTGTTATATAAAAAAATGACAGCAGCCAACACAATAGCCATTGGGTGTGATGAATCAAAATTATACCTATTTTTTGTCAAATCAGCCAAAAATATATTTTTTGTTGTGCCGCAGAATTTTAGAAATTAGTTTATGTGTGCCATGAGATGAAAAAGGTTGAAAATCGCTGACCTATAGGGAAGGGAAAGCCATGAAAAGACTTTTTTTTTTTTAAAGAAAGGCATGTCCAGGGGTGAAAAGATTACAGATCTTTGCAAAGATTACACTGGTTAGGGTTCTGCAGATGAACTGTAAAATTGACTAGGACCACTGCTGTGTACCTAGTGGCAGTGGGGATTGAGAGAAGAGGGGTTCAAGAAAAGAAATTAGAAAGATTCAGTGGAACGGGAAACTGATTGGCGGTGTGGGGCAAAGGATCCCCAAGTATCTGGTCTAGGGGGTGGACTGGGCAGAGGAGTGGACCTCAAGTCCAAGAGGAGGAAATATGTTTTGTCCCTGTGGAATTTGAGGTACCAAGGAAGTATCCCAGGAGGGTTGGAAAGAAGGTCTGGCTCTTTGGAATCATTAAAACATTAGGTAGTAGCTAAAACCACGGGAGTGAATAAATGGATCAGAGACAGTGTTAAGTGAGAAGAGTTCTGAGAAGGGAACCCTGGGGACCCACTCACATTTAGGGAAAGGGGAGGAGCCAGAGGAACCTCTGAAGGATAGTGATGAGTGACTAAAGACAGCCTGGTGTCCCTAGTTTATAACTTTGATTAGTAAATCCTGCTTCCCTGATAAGGAATGAAAACACGTTGCTGATTTGGTCCCTTTATAAGATCGAAAGGCTGTATAGTCTTTCAATGAAAAAGAAAGCATCCTTTGAAAGATTCTAATTCAGATGGGAGATTAGTGCAGGAGAGGATTAAATCTTGCTTCCCTTCTTTTTTGAAACTAGGGTTACATGGGGGAGAAGAAAAGTGTAAGGAATCAAGCTTTCTCTTTTTCTTGTTCCCTTCTCATAACCATTCCCTCCCCTCCAGGTCAGGCCTTCCTAGCACATTAAGTCAGTAAGCTTTCAAGGAAAAGGAGTTCAGACAGACTGGGTCCCCATGATGGTGTTTTTTGTTCCTAATGGCACTTCAAAACCACACCAACAATTAGTACTAGGAGGTGCTAAGATTTCAGTCTAGCTAAGGAAACAAGGAAAAGTAGAGGGAAAGAGTTTTTATTTTGCTTCTTACATCTCCTACCTACTTGTTACAGCTAACCTGAGCTACAGATTTATTGGAAGCAGGGACTCAGGTACATAACAAATCACCCCAGAACTTAGTGGGGGTTTTTTGTTTTTTGAAATATATTTTGATTTTTTACAGAGAGGGAGAGAGATAGTTAGAAACATCGATAAGAGAGAAACATCACATCGATCAGCTGCCTCCTGCACACCTCCTACTGGGGATGTGCCCACAACCAAGGTATATGCCCTTGACCGGAATCGAACCTGAGACCTTTCAGTCCCCAGGCCGACGCTCTATCCACTGAGCCAAACCGGTTACGGTGAACTTAGTGGTTTTAAACAATATTACTCATGAACATGCTATTTGGGTAGGGCTTTGTAGGGACAGCTTGTTTCTAATCTATTTGGCATCAGCTAGGCCAGCTCATAGGCTGGAGGCTTGCATCATCTAAAGGCTCTTCATTTGCGTGTCTAGGGATTAGGACTGACTGAAGTCTAGGACCTTTGCTGCAGCTATCAGCCAGAACACCTACACCTGGCCTGCCCTTGTGGTCGGGGCTTCTTCACAGCAGGATTGCTGGGTTCCATTTATGACCTAATCTTAGAAGTCATGCAGCATCATCTCTATCAGATTCTATTCATTAGAGACAAATCACTAATGTTTTACATATTCTAGAAAGGGGAGACATTGGTCAACATGAACATATAGGTTTCATGTGTGGATTTCTAAGTTATGAAATCTGTATAATTAAAAAAGGGGGGGGGGAATAGACTGCCTTTTAATGGGAGGAGTTTCAGAGTTTGCTATGTGTTTAAAATCACCACACATTAACTTCAGATAAAATGATTTATAAACAATGTGTTGGACTTGGTATGACCATTGTTGAGTATGATCTGGTAGTTAAGTACAGAGTGAGTTTAGCTGATTCTGTCACTTGCATTTTATGTATATACTCTTGTGGTATACTCACCCATCCTGCATCCATAATGCAAATTAAGGTGGTTCTCTGCAGAAAATTTCCAGGGATTCCAATCTGATATGTCTGCATATAGAAGGTATGGACTTGGGTTAAGCACCGTGACTTTTCACATACTATCTCAGGTAAAGAAGGCATTGCAAATCTCTGAAAATTTTCTGCAAAGTGTAAAAAAGGCAAACAGACCCAATCACAACCAAGAAGCAGCCTTGAGTTTTCAAATATGTTTTTATTTTACCAAAGAATAATCACATTCTGATTAAAAATCCAAGAGGCATTTTTCTAAGATACAAACAAAAAGAAATAAAGAGACACAATGCAGGAAGATCACTATAAGGCTCAGAGAT